CCCCAAAACCCCAAAACCCCAAAACCCCAAAACCCCAAAACCCCAAAACCCCAAAACCCCGCATCAAGCTTTGAGCATTGAACTTTAGTTCTGATTATTCACCTTGGAAAATGGCACCTCCGTACATTTCTTTAATCTGTTCAATGAAGTACTCCTTGGCCTCTCCTCTCTTAAGCTTGAATGTAGGAGTCAGGAGACCGTTTTCAACAGTAAACTCTTCGTCGTGAATATAGAGGTTCTTCGGAATCTCTAAGCTATTGAGGTTCGAAGTGACTCTGAACTCTTCAAAGAGTTTCAACAACTTGTTCTTCATTGTATCAGATTTGATGAACTCTTCATAGTTGTCGTACTCCAGTTCTTCTCTTTCAGCATATTTTTCAACTTCTTCCTTTTCTAGCACAACTATGGCCACGATGTAGTCCTGCAGGGAGTCTCCGTATATGAAAATATTCTTGAAGACCAAATTTTGGATGAAGGTGTTCTCCAACTTCTCAGGAGCGATGTATTCTCCTTGGGAAAGTTTGAAGATATGCTTCTTTCTGTCTATTATTTTCAAAGCATTATTTGGCAGGAGTTCCCCGATGTCTCCAGTTAGGGCCCATCCATCTTTATCGAATGTCTCTTTGTTCTTATCTGGAGCTTTGAAGTATCCAGCACATAAGTTATTACCTCTGATGCAGACTTCTCCTCTTGGATTGGGCTTATCAGTGTGAAAATAGCTGAGTTCTGGAACATCTCTCAACTTAATCTCACAACATTCTAGAGGTCCACCAACGTTTCCTGTGTTCTTGTCGTTTGGTAAAGTAATAGTAGCGGCTGCAGTTTCAGTCTGGCCGTATCCTTCCATGATAGGAACACAGAAGCAAACTTTGAGGAAGTCCAAAACTTCAGGCTTGATTGGAGCGGATGCAGTAATCATGTATCTTACATTTCCTCCTAATCCCTGCTTGAAAACTCTGAAAATAAGCTTGTCCCAGATAGCGTGTGTCACTTCTCCGTTGGTGTGAAAATTATTTAGCTTATCTCTGATAGCTTTCTGTGCAAGTTTTCTTCTACATCATCCGCTCTGAGCTAGTCTCTGCTTGATTCCAGTATACAGCTTGTTGTAAAAGCGAGGAACACTTGCAAATAGAGTAGGCCTCAGAGCGAATAAGTCCTCTTTAAGCTTAAGAATATTTCCATTGTAGAATCCTACTGAAAATCTTAACATGTACGAAGCTGATATTATGCATCTTTCAAAGGTATGTGCAAGCGGGAGGTACGAGATATGAATGTCATTATCTTGTAATGTTATTCCTGTATTAGGAAGAGATGCTATCAAACATGTCATATTCATTTGAGAGATCATTGCTCCTTTCGGTACACCAGTAGTTCCGCTTGTATAACAAAGGCAGAGGATAGAATTTAGCTCAGGATCATTGAGGACGACTTCATCTTTAGATTGATCAATTCAATCATGGAAGCTTAGGATTTGGAGTGGGGAGTTTTCTGTTTTCTTTCTATCCCATTCATCAAATACAATTAAAGTTTCAACTGTATCTATCTTCCCATTTCTCTTGAGTCTGTTGAGGGTCTTAATCTTATCAGCCGTGCAACATAAGGTTTTGATTTCAGTTTGATTGATGATAAACTCGATAGCTCCAGTCCCGAGAGTATCATAGAGAGGCACTGAGGTAATGTCATTAAAGATACAAGCAAGATCAGTGGTTACCCATTCCTCTCTATTTTTAGCGAAAATACCTAAGAATCCAAACTCTCTATCTGTTTTACAACCCGAAATATCTTTCTCAATAAATGATCTGGGGCAAAGATTTTTCTCTTGTAAAAATCTAGAAAACTTAAGTGCTTTTTCCTTGATCTGATTGTAAGTTGCCCACTCGTATTCTCCAAGCTGGCCGTCTGGAAGGACTGCTCTTGTACCGAGGTAGTCTTCATCTCCGTAATCTTCTCATAGCTTTAAAAACGAGAGCTTTAAGGATTTGAAGTCGCCGTTTTCTATATCCAAATATGTAAATATGCCGAATTTTAACTAATTTCAGGGAATCTTTGATAATTTTTGGGTTAAAAACTTACCAGTCAACTTGCCTCCTGGAGGAATGTTAGGATTTCTGATTGCAGGAGTACAGTTTGGCTCTCCTTTTAACTCCTCGCCAGGGACTTGGCTACTACTTTCCACAAAGTTGCCATAATTCACTTCATTGTATGGTGCTGCGTTGCCCATGATTATTTTAAAATAATTATTATTCAGCACTGAGGCTTCATGTTGGGGTTTTGGGGTTTTGGGGTTTTGGGGTTTTGGGG